TAGAAATACATACGTAGAAATATCTCAAATTAGTACTTAAGCACTTGAGTACATTTCTGCTTGGTGTACAAAAGTGACATCACTCCAACTTGTCTCTGATTGGAGGAAATTGAAATTACAACCGACCCTGATGCAGGCTAAACAACGCCATAAAGTACAGTAATGTTGAACCCACAGGAAATACAACGCATGGAAACACCATATAAAGCACGAAATGTCACGTTAAACTCACCATATACAGGGGGACACTACATTTACAGGGGATAATATGAGCATATATCACATCATGGGAATGTCCCTGCCTCCCTGAGGAGGCTTCAGTCCCGCAGCCCGGTGTGTGTGTGTGTGTGTGTGAGGGGGGCTGGACCAGAGCACAGGAGCAGACTGCTGCAGAGAGGAGAAACAACTCTGGGCGACACCTGCAAACAAACTCCCAACCGACTCTGTGTTTGTGAAGCTGAGACTGAGCAGTAATGCGGAATAAGGTCGTGAGAGGTGTTACTGATTATTAAGCGCAGAAGCAACAGCAGAGAAACTTTTTTTTTGGTTTTTTTTCGTGCGAGTTCCCGGACAGATCGGCCCGAGAGCTGAGAGAGGCGACAGCAGGTAATGGCACGCTTATTCACCTTGTGCTGCAAATGGCTTTTTAATGAAAGCAAGAAGTAGTTCAGTTCAGTAAGAGGATCGCGATGATGTTCACTTTTTTTTATTTGCGGTATCATTTGATTCATAGTCGACCTAATGCTGGTTCGTTCACAGGTAAACCGTAAAAAAGAAAGCGTGGCGACTTCACTCATACTGGGGCACTGTTGTGGTCATTTTGCTCTGATGCATTTACTGACTGCATTTGACTGCAGGAGTTTCACTTCCCGGTGAAAGCAGCAGAGGTCATTTAGTTTTCCTTGAGGATATGTTTGACTGCTGATAATGTGTATGCTAATCTTTACAGGCTGGTTTTCACTTGTTTGTTTAAGGGCTTTATCGACCAGTCCATCCAGTGGCTTAGCAGTCATTTTCCATTATGTCCCATTATAAGGGTGTGAAAAGGTGGCTGTAGTTTTTGTTGTTTACCCTCCACTAACAATATTTGTGTTACCATCACTGTGAGTACGGAAGAAAGTTTTCACACATTTTTATTACATGAAGATATAATGACAGCGCTGAGTGAGTATGGCAGTTATTGTGGCATCTGTGTTAGTTTAAGAAGTGATGAGTAGCATTAGTTTCAAATTTATCTCCATGATATCTATCTTGAACAAATGATAATGTGCCACACATTAAAGTGTAATAATAACCAAAGAGCTGAAAGCAGAAAGGAACACCTTTTCATTCAGCCTATAACTGATTGCAGCTTGTCATGTGAGAGGAATTAGATTATTCAATCATGCATCACCTGAAAAAATGTTCAGGACAACAGGATCAGCTTGCTCTGAGAGTATCACATATAGAGATATCAGAATGAGCTTCTCAAATGCTTTTTGACAGCGTGCGTTCTCTTGTTATGTGTAATCTCTTTTCTCACGCTCTGTTCTGGAGTGCGTGGCCACCAGCCAGGTCAGGTTTCTTATTCACATTGAACATGTCAGAGGCTGGAGTGAGACTGAGGACAATGACTGACACAAATTCTGTGCAGACCATAAAACTGGACTGTTTTAAGAGTCATTCTTACAAGTACTGTGTCTTACTTTGGTCATTCTGGTTGTTTTTGACCTTTGAACCCAAGAAGCTCGAATCAAGACGGATCTTGATCCTTTATAAGAGTATGTCTTTTAAACCTTACATAAACACAAGCATACCAGAATATTCACGTTTGTTGATGTAATGGGGCGCAACCTGCCAACCTAGGGCAATGTTTATTCTACAATATGACACGTAAACCTTCTCTAGTTCCACTTTACAATAGTGTAGCCCAGTTGATATCAGAAAGATTAAGAACAGACACCCAGGCCTGTGGCATTTCTCTCTTCTATTGATAAGATGTCCTTTTGACACAATATTACAGCACGCAAATGTGATAGTGATATTATTGTTACATAAACCCAAAGGACATCAGTTAGTGTATTATAAAATAAAATGTGAGTGGGTCTGCTTTAATGCCACTGGATGCTGTTCTTGGTGTTGGTGTCACTTTATAGTTTGATTTTCATGAAATAAAATGAAGTCATCTCGGGTTTAACCCAGATTCAGAGGATTGTGTCTCTTGCCATCAGAATTATGATTTAAAATGTATTTACTTTATTTACATACGTTAACATGATAAATGATCGGATGTTTTCTTTTGTTTGTGGAATAAAGTGGTTATACTGAGAATACTGGGATTAGAGTTGAACGATTTGTTGATTAATTGCTTAGTCGACTAACTGAAAATTAATCTGGAACTATTTTGATAATTGAGTAATCATTTACGAACATATTAAATAGCTTTTCTCTGTTTAATATAACTGTAAATGTAATATATTTTGGGTTGTGGACTGTTGGTCAAACAAAACAACACATGTCATTCATATTGGGCAATGAATATGTGTGATGAACACCAAATGATTAATTAATTAGTATTGTCAGATTAATTAACAGTCACAATAATTATTATTTGCACTCCAAATTGGGACAGAAACTCACCATAGATGCCTCTGTGCCACATAATTAAGGGCTTGTTTGAGAGGCACCAGCTCATGCAAATGAGTGTCTATGGACAAAGTGCAGACTTCAGAGCTGACACCACTGTGCAGCTTTGAAGTCATGCACTATTCACAGCTGAGAGTGAAGTCACAGCGGATCAGGTGTGTGCTGATGATACAGTTACCCTTTCCTCCACTGCTGCATCCTGCCTGTAGAGGCGGACGCTGCGCAGCAGTTAAATTAGCTTCATCCATCCAGGTGGTTATCTCAGGCAGTGCAAGCAGAGCATCATAGTGTTTACATCTTATGTTTCACCAGAAAAAGTGTTGTATTTGCTGTTTTAAAATCGTTATCAGTTATCACCTGGGCTTCTCAGTTCATTGGCTGCAGCATATGTTTCAGTTGTTCTAGGCTTTATACACAGTGTCAGTGAAATCAATGCAATGATTCATTATATGGGAAATAGATGATAGTGTATTGTTTTCTAATTACAGCTGGTTATAGATTAGACTATACAACAAGAGACAACTTTGGACAAAAAATAGATAAAGGTCAAAAGGTTTCAGGTGTTATTATCCCAACATTGTAGTAACATGAGTATTCCCCTCTCAGGCATCTGGTGGATGGAGAGAAAATGGAGGTGAACAGAAAAGAGGTGCCTCTTTATGTAAGTACCTTTATGTTTTGCTCCTGTCTGTAAGTATTGTGTGTATTGAAGATGTCTATTGGGATATTTATTTGGGTGGGGTAGGGTGAATACATTTCTGTTTTTCATTTTTTTCCTCACCGGAATTAGAGCTCTCTAGTCTTTCCCTCCAGCCATCCCTTTGCTCTTAGCCCCGACTCTCCCTCTGTGCAGTGGTTGACTGGCAAGCCTTGTGTCGCAGGTGAAATCCAAGCCAGGAGGGTTTCAGTCCCCTGGGGAAGCCAGTCCTTACACAGCCTGCTCACCAAATGACAAGGTCCTCCGAAAGCAGGGCTTTCACAGAAAACAAGGGAGCCAGAATGAGCGACTATACCTAATTGTTTCTTAGCTTTAAAGGAGTACACCAGTGTATGAATTGAATGCAGTCTTTTCTGGCAGAATGTAAGAGTGCAGCGTGTGCAGGTGTGTTTGAATTATTGTTTTGACATAGTAGAACTTTGTTTCTCTCTGCAACGTTCATTTCTTCCATCTGTACTCCTTTTCCCCTTCAATCCTCCATATCCGCCATCTCTCCCTGTCTCTCACCCTTTATTCTCCCGTGTGTGGAAGCCTGGGTGGGCCAGTCACTGAAGCGTTGCCAGATTTCTGGTAAGCAGAGTGTCTGCTTGTTTTGCTGTGTCACCAGTTTCAGT